ACTATTTTAATAAAAATATGTCAAGTTTATTCTCCATAAATTGCCATAACTTCAAAAAAGTTTGTAGAATCCGCCTTCATCATTTAATCAACTAATTTCCTTACTCACAAGCTTAATTTGCACGCATCTTATTCTAACACTGCGTCTAACTCTTAAATCTCAGTCAGATTTGGTTATGTCTTGTAAGTATACTATTAAACTTTTGTCCTTATTACTTTTATTACCAGAATAAAATGCATCTGTAAATGTCACCACTGGATGGTTGGTATCTAAAATTGTTTATTTAAATTTTTATACCATTTAAGACAATTGATCATCTGTCAAAGCTTGCAGTGTTGTGCACATATTTTCACTCACTTAAAGATGGCACGCGTTTTCGCAATAAATTCACTGCACTTTTCTTGGCCAAGTAACACTTAGGTGCAAACTAACTTTCAGATGGCCCAAGAAGCGATACAGGATAGTCTATCATTATCCAAAATCAAAAGATCGTAATGCGCATATCAAAAAAAATATTCTGATATCACATTATAACTTAATGGCAAGGCTTCCGTTTTTAATGACTAAAGTAACCTGAGATCAATTGTAATAAAAACGTTTATTTATTCAAACCTTATTCAGGTATAAAATGCAATAATAGTTGAAAATTAACGAAAGTTTGAGTTACGTTATAAACTTTAACAATTGAAAATCAAGGGGTTTCAAAATCTACAATAAGTTCTAGAAAAAGCATTTTTCAAAGTACATTCGAGGCTATAGGGAATCTTTCCGCTGACTGTACGTAAACCTTGTTCAAATTTAAATAGCAATCGTCATTTCTTCGGGGTGTTGAATATCGTTTTCAAAGCAATTTACTTTCCTGTCCGAACCGTATGTTTTTTCAGGTAATGACTAATTATTTCCTTTGGTCAAACAAACAAAAGATGACAATCCATTGTCTGCAAATCCTTCATTTATATATCCTAATTAACTTCAGTATTTGAAACTCCTACATGGGAATTGCTAGTTGCAAACCTTTGTGAAACTGGCCATAAAGAGGTTCGTTCTTTATTTCTATTCAATAGGTAACCATATCTAGCAATTGATAACCGCTAAACATGCCTAAGCATATTAAGCAGTTTTAAATTAATCCAGACATTCCGATTTTAATGTGGAGTGGTTATTGTAAGTTCCTTCTCATACAGGCTCTAATGGTCTGTCTATCCAGAAGGCCTGGCACGTCTAGTTGGAGCGTTTGCGTGGGGAAAGGGAGGGATAAGGTACTGAACGTTTTGGAGAGGAATAATTAATGAACAGCCACTAAAATGCGGAGAAGTATTAAGAGTGTAATGTACTCAAATTGCAGTCGTAAAATCATGCTAAATTCAAGAGCAACTTTAAATGAATTATCAAATTGCCATCAATTAGCTAAATCGTTACATAATAATATATTGAAGGCATTTCTTCATATTATATGTGCCTAAATCCTTATATGACTATTGTGACATATAAACTGCATTAAATGCAAAAATGTCAAACTTTCTAAAATGGGACTAATCTGTGCTGCTACTACAAAACCAAAGTGTGCTTACAATTTTTATCTTATTAATAATGGTCCAATTTTAATCTTTTATAACTCAATTTAATTTTGTTAATTAAACAAATAAGTTATATATAATCAATAATAATATTTTTTCCGGCATGTTTTCTTAAATTTACTGAAAAAAAAACAGATTGAAATTTACGTAAGTTGGATGAAATAATGCTAGGTAATATAACTGAAACTGGTTAGAAATAAAGAATTATTATAAATCTCAGTAAAATTTTCACTTCCTTCTTCTCAACAGGGATATCAGTTGTGCAGATCAAAACGCCCATGCTGACTAACATAGTTTATCAAGCTCGATCTCTCATTCTGATCCCCTCGAACTGATGTGCTTGGTAAAAGTATATATAAAAAAGGTCTGATAAATCATTCTAATGTCCGTCGAACGTCCGGATTTTATGGTTAACATCATTTTGGGTAGTTTGATACTGCAAGTTACAAGACACTTAATAGGAGCCGATTTATATTTGGCAGGTTTAAACAAATCTTTTGCGAAGTTGAAATTGCGAAATAAACATCTACTGTCCAAAGCATACATGAAGTATAATCGCGATCAAATCAGCATCAATGTTACACGGCAAACAGAACTCTATTTATCAGATCAAATCATATAGATTTTTTAAGATAGAACCCTATAATTGAAGCTCCAGTTAAATAAATATCCTTGATATTTTCTTTGTCGTTTGTTTTTTTTCAAATTTAATGGAAATGTTAAATTAAATGTTGGTTTGGATAAATCTGTCACTTAATGACCTCAAACATTCAAATTCATTAGTTATTACACTTCATTAGTAAATACTACATCAGTTTATTCACATATATTTGGAGAACTTATGTGGATCTTAATCTTCTATTCATGGTAAAATTGTCCTTTACTGGGAAAAACACATCCTATCTCATGAAAAAATGAAGCAATTGCGTGGTATGTCACTGTGAAACTTGTCTCTAAAGAGCAAAATTAGTTAGATAAATCACTGTTTAACCTAAAGCCCGTATATTAAGACATTTCAATTTAATTTTGTTAGTAGTGGGTTGAATCCAATACTCGGAACAAATATCAGGGATTTAAGGAAAAAACAAAGGAAAATACGACTGGACGCAGTGACCGATGTTTGAGTAAGGCTGCAAGTAGTATTTTAATAATTGAAGGGGGTAAATTGCCCCCCCCCCCTCCCAATTGACAAAATCTCACAGTAAATAAAAACTGTTCTTAAATTGATTAAAATATTTTTTCCTATGGGCTAAAGCAAAGGCACCAAAGTGGAGTTCTTTCGCTTTCATTTTGGACACAATAAACTGAGATATCCTCATTATTTCCTTCTAAATAGCGCACTATATGGGGTCTTTGCCATAGCAACCTTTACTTTTGACAATTTAATAACCGGGCCTCCATGCTTGCTGAAGGGAAATGCCAATCATAAAGAGCTTTCTTAATAATCCTGAATACACATTAATTGATAAATTGGTTAATTCATTAATCACATTTTTCTTAGCTTTATCTCTCATAGAAATGTTCCAATATTAATAAATGTGAATTTAGTGCACTTCACTTGACGAATCAGCTTGACGAAGCTTTAAACATCCTTGAATAACTGCTTGGACACTGTCTAAACCACTTTGTAAAAATCCAAAGTATCCGCAGGCACTAATAAGTGATTCATGATTCATTATTAGTGTAAAGTGCCAAACAAACAGAAAGTTGTTGGACTTTTGGAAATTCAAGCGATGGTCGAAAACTATTAGTCAACTTGGCCGCAGTTTTTCCAACTATGAGTAAGGGCTTTTTCTATACCATTAGAGGAGACAGGAGAACTAGACGCCATAGCCCGACACATCTGCTGTCTCCATAACAAGCAGATTCGGGATATAATGAGGACTCAGCATCTCAGAAAATAACATACTTTTTAACTTCTTAAAGTTTCCTTCACTTTTAGGAGTCAGTTCCACCTAGCAAATTTTTACTATAACCTACTCATAGAAGTCCAAGTACTTTTCTAAGTCGGTAGAAATAAAGCTGAGGAGAATAAGAGATGAATGAACTGTGGTAATGTCAGTAAGTCGGGGCATTCAAAGAGTCCTTGGCCATCTCAAATACGCCATGACCAAGTCGAATTTCTTAAAGCTTTTAAGATGCCATATGCCTGCCATTTATAACTGAAAAAAATTGAAGACAAGCTAATTTATATCAGATAGCAGTTCTCGAACACAAAAGATGTTTAATCACAATGTACTGTGCAAATTCAAGACTTTTTATCTTGAGCTATCATTTTAAAGAGATTTTTAAATATTCGTCTACGAAAAGAAGCTCATGCAAGAATTAAACCGAGAAATGCAACATTAATTAGATTCATGCAAAAATTCAAAAATTTCTGTCCCAACTCTCAAGGTGGAAGTATTTTTAGATTCAAGTGACTCTATGCGCAACTGCAGCTGTGTCAACAATTTGGCCTTTAGGATGCAGTTTTCACCAAATTAACTTTTCCTTCTCAAAGGGACACGTAAAAATTTTATATTTTTATATACAATATATTTATTTTCTCAGAATGAAACGCACTTCGGATTGAATATTTATTCAAAGGCAGGAAAATGAAGTCTGTTGTGAATGAAGTTTATTTTTAACTTTGTCTGTATATATATGTATATGGGATTTGATTCTTGCTCTAAGAAATAATTAATGAACGGACTAGAAAGGCAATCCATAAGCTTATATAGACCAATCAACGAACCACGATATCAACGGATGATAAGACCTTGAATATAAAAGCTATACATTTAGGGAATAATTAACCTTATAAGAAACTCAGTGGACTTCCTCATATTCCTTCTCCACTTCATGTAATAAGGAGCAAAATCATGAACTTTTTCATTTTCAAAATCTGCTTAATGATTGAAGTACATGAAAATTTTGTGCAATTTCATGTGATGTAGTAATAATATCGGAAGAATTAAATTCCTCGAACAGTTGCCAAAGGGCTATTTTTCCATTTTAAGGCACGAATACATGAATAATGTTTTCTTTTAAAATATGTATTTTATTTATTTCAATTAAAGAAAGACTTGCATGAGTTCCTGATTGTAACCTTCCAGGCCATTGGCAGTTTAGTTAGCCAATAAAAATCCTCTGACTGAATGCAGCCAGTCAAATTCACACGATAAGATCGCATTGTTCATTTAACATGGTCATATCCTTGTAGATAACTTATAGTAGCCACATACCAAGATATTAAAAGTACGCATCATTAAAGTAAATAAGACAAAGGAATTTGACATTACCATGAATAAAGATTTTCATTAAAGAATTCGAGTAATGCCCTAGTTTTCAGTTTCATGTTTCATCCAAATTTTATGAATTTTTTTCATTAAATTTTTCATAAAAGCATTTACTCTTTTATGTTTTCAGAAACAGATCATAAAAATGGATTTTCTTAGCATTTTACTACTATGTTTCTTGGAGAGTGCACTCACGGGTCTAGTAAAGCATCGCAACTTGAACATTATTGCTCAACCACAACGCTCGGTATTTGCCTTAAACCGATCACTCAGACCAAGGGGTAGGTTGATTTTATTCTTATTATTTTTGTAATATACTACACCTACCATTGTTTCTCCGTATTAACGTATTAAGATTAAAATATTACTGAAGTCTAAGAAATATTAAGGCTACATTAATCGAATATTTCAAAAACTTAAACATTTCAGAGTAATTAATTTTGATTTTTTGGGAGAATTTATGTGTAGTTATTTAATTTTACCATCCAAACATAAAATTTATAGGACAAAATCTTATTTCTTTGTAGTTTAAAAAATGGAATTTATATTTTAAAAGGTCTAAAATACTTTTTAGAACATTCGATATTCCAAAAGGCATTCTTGAAAGGTGGCACTTATCATTTATGAGAAGTCTCATATATTTAACATTTCATTTTATTAAAAAATAAAACAATATAATTTGACAACTGCCAGTTAAGAAGGCAATTCAGATTTTACTTGAAATTCCTAACTTGTCACCTTGTTAAAAATTTCACCCAAATTGAAAACAATGGCAACACTTGTCAAGATAAATAGAAGTGTATAAAGGCGATCTACTTTCTTGAATACTTCCAGTACCTACTTTATTTGTGGATTGTTTTTTTAAGCCATTTAATAAAATAAGCTTAAATCTTTCTTAATTATGAATCAAAACTTCTAATTACTTGACTTTACATTTATTTTGTATGTGTTTCTTATCCTTCCTGCTTTAAAATTCTTTCATATTTTCGTTAATATTAAGATGAAAGATATGAACTATCTTTACATGAAATTCGAAATTGTTCCATCGATATTCATAGTATAGTGTTAAGCTTCTGATCAAGGCCACAAAAAATGTCTGCGCATCTGTTTTCAAAAGTACCGTTTGATATAGCATGCCACCTGCCAATTGTTGTCTTCTTTGCTGTCCCGCACGCTTGCAATTCAATTTTAAAAAATTCTCACAATTTATTTTATGATTCTAAAAACAAATTTTTTGGTGAAGCATGGCTGTAAATGAGTTACTGCTTATTAGCTGCTTAAACGTTTATTTTGCATGAGAAGATGTTGTCAATAATGCGTTAATAGTAATTATTCGTTTAATCAAAATAATTTAGAGGGAAATGCAAATGCATGCAATGCTACAAATATATTTATTGTACAAACCCTTTCAATTTCACCTAGAATTTTAACATATATATGTATATATTCCAAAGTTCAAACCCTTGCCCTGGGCAACAATATAGTTCAATAAAGATTTGCAGTTGACTATCTGTTTTTTACACAATATCAAATTCAAAGCATGCTACTCCGCGCTAATAAAACTTTAATTTCTATCTCTGTGATGAACTTATAAATGCCTATTTTGAAGGTACTGAAGGCTAATAAAGTGTCAAAAAGGTAAATTAGGAATTCCAAAATTTACTTTATTACAGTTATATGTGGGTTTAATTGACAAAGTCATATTAAAACAGCAGAAAGGCAATAAATTCCATTTAGGGCATGAAAGTGGGTCCAATGAAGGCAGAGCATTTAAATGCTATTTTTTTATTTTTTGTGAAAGTTTAATAATTTCCAAATTTAATAAACTCTATTGCACATTAAAACCTTCAAACTCAAAGCCTAATTGACACCTTTAATAGACTGCCAAAAAAACATTTACAATGCATTTTCATTAATGCAGATAACGATTCCCCTTTAATTTTAAATATCCGTGCAATCAAGTAAGTTGTTTCAGCAATGAGTTCGATTTTCATCCTTTGCTTGCCTTCAAAATCGATAGAATTTTTTCTGAGATTGGAAAATTACAATGTAAACAGCCCACGTAACTGATATAAAATAAATAAAACTTAAAATTTCCTAACACTTCCTAACATTTTCCAATTTGCGTGCATCGCTTTCAAAATGCTTCGCATTCACTAATGCATAGCAATAGCATGATTCACTATTACGTAAAATTATAAAGTTCATCACATTTCGAATTAAGATTCACTTTGAGCATAATGTAATTTCTAAAATAAATACTTTTAATTTAAAAAAATAAAATCTTCGAATAATGGCTACTCACGGTAAATGAATTAGATTTAGCTCTCGCCTGTGCAAATAATTTTTAAATTACAAAAATTATATATACTCATTAAGCAATCGATTTAGCTTAAAGATTTCTTTATTTATTTAGCAGCACCTTAATAAACTTTTCCGCCAAAATGGATTCTTAGTATGATCCCAAAGATGCTTAAATGGAGATGCCTGTGTTGGCATAGATGGGAATTCGTTCCAAACAATAAGATATAATTCGCCCCTAGGAATATGAGACTGATAATTGAATATCCATTTTTGTTAAATAGTAGCTTCATTTGAATTTGCTAAGATTTGCTTTGAAGATTTATAAATATTTATTGAACGTAAAAAGACATTATTTAAATTTTGCCTCTGTCGAGTTTGAATTAATATATTTTCTATCTAATTTTGGCTAACTTCGTATTCATGATTATGCTATTCCATTTTAATTAATGAAAGATTATATTCTTTGACCTATAAACTTTTAACTTATGAGTAAAATGACGAAGAACTTTAATTTCCATAATTAATTTTAAATTTCACACTTTATTTCTTTCATTGGGCTTATTATGATACATTTCTTCAAGATATACCTTTTATAAATATTTTATTACCTGATTCTAGATATGAATATAGTTAAAGATAGTAAGTTTGAGTAAATTTTAATTCATTTGCCTGAAATTCTTAATTAGCATAGAAAATTACTCGATATTACTGTTTTTATCTTCTTATTTGTTAATAATTAATTTTTTGGTAATTAAAGAAAGCAAAAAGCTAGCACTTAAATTTGGTTAGCATTAATACGATACCAGTGTTACTAAAGTAAACTATTGCCTATGCAAATGACTCCCTTCCTTCAATATGAACCCATTTGACCGTATTCAACTGTAAATTAGAATCCTTTGAATCCTTTTTTAAACACTAACTCTTAACTTTATATCGCGTACGTAAGTGAAATTAATAGTAGACAAATTGTAGCATCTCCGTAATTAGGTCAAGTACATATTTAAAAAAGTTAATCCGCATTGCAATTTCCCAAATTTTGTAACTTTTGTTTCAATTTACCTACTATAATAACGATGATTTTCATATTGTGTAAGTAGATGGATTGTCGAATGAAATTGATGTCGAATCTAAGGTCAAAATTGCATTAATATTAAGCAAGGAAATATAATTTATGAAGTCGGAGTAATTAATAATCTATAAATTCAATTAATTTGTAAGAATACTCCAATAATTCATATTTATTTTAATGTAATTGTAGAATTAATGAGGAATTGCCATTTTAGAAGCAAGTGCATTAATTGACGGGAATGAGGCGAAGGCCGAAGGTGGGGCTGGCGACGAGGTGGATGCCGCAGCAAAAATTGTCTGCGATCCAGTGGGAGAAGGAACGAGTGAATTTGCTGACTGTCCCAAGCGAACTTGCCGTACAAATGTTGATTGTTGGGTGGCCTATGGTAAACCCCAGCAATGCGTTTGCGACCCACATTTCTGTGGCTTAGTCTGTCTCCCAGGTAACTCCATCTTTGGCCCATTTTCTACCGTATATATTTACTTATTTATGGCTGCATATATAAATATGGCCCTAAATTGTAACGGGACATAGCAGTTTGGTACTTGGTGCTCTTTTGTTGCTAGAAATAATGTTAGCGGTAATGATGTTTAGAATGTCACGCAATTCAAAATGAAGCCATTCAGTACCTATTAGCATGTTCACTATTAGTATAAGTGACAGCAATGAAGATAATATAATATGTCCATATCTCGACGCGGACAATAAAACTGTTTTTAAGTCAGTAAATTGGTAATTCCTAATCACTCTCCATAAATTGGATTAAGACATTACCATCATTAATCAATTTAGTTGAAATATCTTTATAGCTATTTATTTCATGCCATTTATTAATTCAGTGGAAAATCAAAAACAGGTATCGCCAGAATATTGTCTTAATTAGAGTATTCTGCTAGAAAATATTCGAACTGTTGTATGCTTAAACTATAAACATATATATATATATATATATATATATATTATGACAGATGTTGTCCAAAATGGGATCTTTATTATACCAATGTAGTTTTCAAATACATATTAAAGTTTTTTCATTTTAAACATTCAATCAAAGTACCTTTAAATTCCGTTTATACATCGGTGCTTTGTACTTTGATCTAAAGGATCAAATAATTCTGCCATTGGCTGTATTCAAGGTCAAATGGAAATGGAAAATCAGTGAGTGTCCCACTTCGATGTCCACAAATTGGTTTCATCTGGTACCTAACAATCATCCACCATAGACTGCATTTGCTCGGTATGAAATTTCTTACAAAGACCCTAAAGCTGGCATTAGTGATGATTGCTTTGTGGTCGTAAAATGTGCATAATCCATATCTCGTGGTATTTTGTTCATATCTCGATTAGCGTTGCCTACTTAGTCTGAATTGCTTTAGTAACTTCTCTGAAATTCTAAACAAATGTATCCTAAATTTTGACAGTTGTGGTTTACTTCCTCGGTGACAAAGCTATCAGGAACTTAGAGGAGCTTTCTGTATTGAATTTTGATCTTATCTATCACGTCATATTGGCATTCACGTTGACTACTCATATTTATCTCTGACTTAATGACTCCATGTCACCGTTTCCTCAACCCATAATTTGTTGATTCATCTCCCTTTTGGAGATCAAGAACTTTAAATACAGTCGTTTTTCCTCTGCCTTGCCATTCGCCGTTTTTTAATAATTTCCTGAGACTAATTTGGAAGAAATGTAAGAGGAAATTTTTAATTTTCTTTTAACATGTGGGAACCCCCGATTTGGTTTTATTTTTTCTAATTTTCACATTCATATTTCAAATAGAAACATCTCTTGTGTTCAGCTTTGAATTTGTTACCTCTCAAATATCTCATTATGGTAAGTACGCATCTTTCCTGTCAGGGAAGGAAATGGATATCTTATGAAATTAGACACTATGATGTATAAATTCTGGGAGCACCTAAAAGGTAAAACTACACAAGCCTGTGACTTCAACACTCTCTGCATGGGAGCCGAAATTTCCGCCATGCCATCCCATCTTCTGGGCAGTGACATTTCAGTTGATCATGAAAACAGGCAAAATTTAATATTGGTTGAAACAGTCTGAATATTGCACAGGGATAGCAAAACTCTCTCAATCATTTACGGTTTGTAGTTGGTTCCCAATGTCCAATGCCAAATAAGCCAGAAAATGGCAATGTACTTCTGAGAGATTCAGATGTAGGTGGCACAGCTGACTATATTTGTAATGCCGGTTTTACTGTTATGGGCCCAAGGCAGCGTCATTGTCTGGCAACTCTTAAATGGTCTGGACCAGAACCTGTGTGTACCAATCAAACTGACTGTAAGTGCTTTCATGACTTAATTTAGGTCCCACATTTTATTATACCATGTAATTTCTCTCCTCCATCATTAGTTTGCTTTACGCCTCCCTATATGCCCAATGCAGTGGTTATTGAAGGACACTGGTTGGAAGGTAAAACGTCCTCAGATAGGGCTGATTATAGAAATGGGGAGACCATTACGATGACTTGTCGACCAGGATTTGCTGATACAAAACGCAGGTATTCAACTCTGGTGTGTCTCGGAAACCAGTGGAAGTATGAAAAACTCGACTGTCAAAGTAAGTAATATCAAGAGAATAATTAAATATTTTTAAACCAATAAGTACTTGCTAAGTCCCCTTTAATCACCCAAGGAATATCGTGTTCCGAAATCGAAGGACCAAAGAACGGTCGAACCCTCTACACCTCAGATATGCGTTTTCAAGCAACGGCTATTCAGTTCTGCGACGACGGTTACAATATACGCTGTTCTGAAGAGACGGAAAATATTGAACCAAGTTCAGCAAAAAGTGAGTCTTCTAATTTCATTTATACATTAGTATTAAATAGCAGACACTTGAATTCAGAGAAGCGATAATTTACCTAATTATAATTTGTCTCAGATGATGAAGTAAATATGCACAAATTTTTGCCATGTCATGTTTGATGTAATGATTTTAGGAAAGAAAAATTAATTATTTAATAGTTAGAAGGGGGTATGTTTTACAGTCTTTTTCTGCTACCAAAGGTTGTCGCCGTGTATGTCAAGAAGATGGTGTATGGTCGGGGAAATCGGCAGAATGTATTGGTATGTGACATTCAATTGAGTTTACACCTTTCTATAACTGATCTTCATTACGAAAAGAGAATTACATTATAGCTGTAACCTGCCCCAAGCTGCACCAACCAGAAAATGGTTTCATATCGGGCTACCAGACTAGTGTCAACAGTGTTGTGGCTTTCGAATGCGCCGAAGGTTATGAATTAACCGGTTCTAAGTTTCGAAAATGTCAGGCCAATGGGAAATGGGACGGTGAGCAGGTAAACTGCCTCGGTAAGTGACCTCTGAATTTTCTTTTAATTATTTATTTAATAAAGAAAATCAGTTACGCAATTGAGTAAATCAGTCTTTTTCAACTTTCATTGATACCTGACCAGTAAAATTTTCTAATTTTGCATAGAATAATAATAAATATTTATAAGCTCATTCGAATTCAAATAGTTCAATAATTTTGAAACTTCAAAAATATGAAGAATTTTATTGCATAGCGTTCTCTATTTCCTAATTAGTAGAAATTTTAAAGTTAATTTAAATATAATTTGTAAAATCTTTCGTCTGTTTTATGTCAGCGTAATATTCATGGTAAATAAAAAAATTGAAAAGAACTTGAAATATAAACCTTGAATTTATCCCAATAAACATTTAGTGAATCAATCCGACTGTTAGCATCTTTTTGTCTATAGTGTTTTATTTCATTTAAATAATATGCGAACCAACTTATTTTATTGTCAGTCCAAACCAAGCACTTATTAATTACTTCATTAAAAAAGAAAAATAACTAAAAAAATAAATAAGAGAGCATATATACTGTTCGGTATGAGCAAATATATTGCTCATTTTCATAGTTGGATTGGAACTTTGAGAAAAAATCGGATGTTCCTTTAGAGTTTGACTGCTAAAGTGCTTCATTTTTTTTGACTTAAGTCAGGGATTGCGGTAAACCCCCTGAAATCAGGAATGCGGCAATAAAGTTCTCGTCGACAACTTTCAATAGCAAAGCCTATTTCAGGCAAGAATAATGCTTAATTGCACTTAAAACAAACCGTGCTTATTAGTAATGAAAACAAAAAATTTAATTTTTTAGCTGCGACTCCGAAACAAAATCCTCCATTAAGTCCTCCGAATTAACATGTGGACAGATAGGAAATAAAACTTCCTGGCTTCCATATCCTTACCCATCTTGCCACAAACACTGCAGCGTTCCAGATATATCGAATGCAAGTATCACTCTTGTGAATTTAGATGGAACGCTGGATAAAGGAAAGGTCAAAATCGGTGCTCTTTTGGAACATGGTTCAAGTATCTCAGTTTCTTGTCAGTCTGGTTTTAATCTTGCAGAGGAACTAAAAAAACCATTGAAGAGCCCTTTTGCGACTACATTATGCAAAAATGGCAATTGGAATCGCAAATATGAATGCCAACCGGGTGAGTTGGTGCCATAAATTTCACTTAAAGTAACCAAGAAACTCGATGACTTGATATAAGAGCTGAAACTGGTTAGGCACGCAAGGTTTTGCAATCTTCAAATCCTCTTTGGAATTAAAGCATGCAAAAAATATTTCAAAATAAAATTACAGCAAAGTAGATATGATTAATTCCCTTGAGGAGTTTATAATGAGGCAGTAATATCGACTGTACATCAGGAAATAGCAAACTAACTTTTGACAAACATTTATGACTCTAATTAAAATGCCCCTTAATACTTTTATTATTGTCCCTGAAAATAGCATTTATTTATAATTTTTTGTTTTACTCATAGAAATACGCAACAAGTTAACAGTTTCTAATTGTGCGATGCTACCAACACTGAATGACTGCAAATGTAACTAGCAAAAAGAGTTAAACTGTCAAAAAGTTACTCATACCAACGCTCAGGTTGCAATGAATCGAAATTCAGCTATTTTTTCACTCAGATTGTACATTATTTATCAACTGGGCATTGAGCGCTTTACAATTCTACTTCCCCAAATCATCCCACAGATGGCAACAAATGTTTGTCCACAATGGGTAGTGCTAAATGGCTTGTATTTTTTAGTGATAAGCATTGGTTGGGGGGGGGGATTTAATTTATTTGGCAACAACTAAGTAGAATATAAGTTTTTAGAATAATCAGAGTGCCAATTTAACTTCTTCTCAAATTTAGAATTGTTTGGAATTTATTTCTGAGCTATTTAGATATTCTAAAGCCCAACTTCAATGAAATAATGCGTATCTTCGAATTTCAGGGCTTACAAAACAGCTCATTTGATTAAATGAATTTTCGTTCTGATTTTATTTACTCTCGTCTTTTAGGAATGTGAATTCAGATATGACTAATAAAGTTTGGTTGAATTCACTCCAGCCATCAAAATTTAAAAATGTACTTAGAAAACGGAAATTGGAAAATTCACTTCATAGCTCTGCAAGGGAATGCTCAATAATTAGTAAAACAGTTAAAAACTGAAAGAAAACAAGTTCTCAACCCGCTACCTGTGTCAAAGAGGTGACTATCCATCCAGGTCATTTTAAAATACTGCGATTTCAATTACATGGTAATATAAATAGCAATAAAATAAACGCTATTCTGTAAGGCCGTTGTCAATGTATTCATAACACTTCCGAATTCACATGGCTTTGGAATTTGTATGTCATATTTCCTATGTAGAATTTACAATCCTCCTACTCATCCCACGTGCCTACTTGATCAATTGTATGAGATTCTAGAAATAAAGAAATGGATGCGTTTTAAATACTGCTGTTCAAAAGTGCAGATCTGCTTTTCTAAATTATATTCAACACAACTTAATTTGATTTCATAGGAGAGCTCGTAGTTGAATTCGCCAGGTCTAAAAAGGCTGAATGAAGACATGATCCTCTTTATAAATAAAAAAATTGTTTTTTATAGAGTATCGAATACCTTTTATGAAATTAGTTGGATACTACTTTCAAATCGATTTAATATAACACAGTTCCCTCAACACGAATTATAACCGTGATATTTTATCATTCACTCTTTTGCAAATAAGTGACAGTCATTTGACATTTAGTGATCAGCTTTGGCTAAGTATAAATTTTAAGATGTTCTTTAAGCGCGACGACCTTTGGCAAAGTAAATCATTCCATTTTAATTTTGGCATTCTCTTAATGGGGGCTTACTCTCTTTAGACGTTTCCTTGCCCAGTTGTGCCTCTAATGAAATTGACAATGATCAACACTGATTAATAGTAATCAAAGTAGATCAGGTGTGTAAGATACGCACTATTAGTTTATCGAGTTAATTTGAACTTTAATTGGATAAATGAAGAATGATTCCATAGATATGCTTTCTTTTTTATAGCAAATAAGTATTCATCTTAACTTTTATACAGAAAAAGACCATTACTATTTTTTGAAGGCATAAATAGATTAGAGTTTTGAAGATATCTCCATTTAATCGACAATAACTAGATATCTACTAAATCAAACAATAAATATATTTCCTTACGTTATAAATGCATCATTAATATCTAAACAGTGAAAATAGCTACGAATAAATTTTTTCAGCCTTAATTCAATGATGAAATTTTATCGTTGGGTTTTAACTTTAACTTTAATTTTACTTTCAATTACAACTGATTTTTAATAGTCATATTTGATCATAATGATTAACTAAATGTGTATGATAAGTCAGGGCATTCGACAGGTTAAATAACCAGAAAATCGAAAAAATCACCTAAACAAGATGGATTTGGTTGGTAATGATCTTTTCCCTAAAACCAAGCAGGGTGTAACACATGGGCTTACTCATGCAACTGAGATGGAGATTTAAACAAAGGAACTTCATGGAGCTCATGGTATTGGCATTAAGTGATTGCTAATGTTATTCAATATGAGCAAGCTTATTTCCCATTGATTTAATGTTTCTGCAGCTCGTTGCACAACTCGTCCACCAAACATTCCAAACGCGCTGACGCGTTTCTATGGCTTACATCACGGATCAGTGGTTCGATATCAATGCTTTCCTGGCTACGAGTTGAACACGAATAGAACTGAGGCGCTCCTTCGAAGTGAGGTCAAGAATGGTGGATTGAAAAACAGTTGGCCACTCTCCCACGACCATTACAGTGTCAAGTGCGAATATGGTGTCTGGAAGGGTGAACCTCCCATCTGTGTTCAAGGTGTGTCATAATCATATTACCTGAAATTATGGTCAGGTATTTTTTATACCACTTAAAAATGAGACTTTTACAGTTTTCAATCCCTGCAGAAGGTTTTAATACGACGAATATCAAAGTAATCAAGAAAGCGGTGAATTTTCAAGCAGGAGTAGAACATGAAGTCATAGCATTAAAAGCGTACTTAGTTAAATGAAGGATTCATCAAATTCCATCATTTTTGGTGGAGTTCATATTTTCAAGATCCTTTTATTTATTAATAGCAAATGACAGGCTTTATGATAGTTTCAGTAACCCTTTAATTGACTTCTGTCTTCACAAGAGGGAGGACATCAATGGCACAAAATGTCGAGATGAGGAACGGAAAAGTGATTCAGAGATGTAAAATAGATAGACAGACACAAAGGTAGAGAGAAAGGTAAGGTAAGGTGAGGACTGTGGAAAACACGAAGGTAGAGAAAAAGGTAAGATGAGTACTGTGGAGGCTTAGAAAAGGTAGGAAAAAGGTGAGGTGAGTACTGTGGAAGATGTGAAGGTAGAAAAAAGGCGAGGTGAGTACTGTGGAAGTGGTGAAATATGACATACAGTGGGGTGATGGTAGTTTGAAGTCAGAGGTATATGACATACAGTGGGGTGATGGTAGTTTGAAGTGAGAAATAGGTAGAAAAAAGGTGAGGTTAGTACTGTGGAAGAAGTCGACAGTAGAGCAAAGGTGAGGTGAGTACTGTGGAAGGGGTCGAATTTGACATACAGTGGGGTGATGGTAGTTTGAAGTGAGAAGTCGAAGAGAAAAGGTAAGATGAGTACTGTTGAAGTGGTCGAATTTAAGAAAAAAGGTGAGGTGAGTACTGTGAAATGGTCGAATATGGACAAAGGTGAGGTGAGTACTGTAAAAATAGTCGAATATGATATAGAGTGGGGTGATGGTAGTTTGAAGTCAGAAGTCAACTGCCGATCAATAGACTTTTTGCAAGTCAGAAGTCAACTGCCGATCAATAGACTTTTTTGTCTTTGAAGCTAGAGTCAACTGAAGGTAGAAAAAAGGCGAGGTGAGTACTGTGGAAGTGGTGAAATATGACATACAGTGGGGTGATGGTAGTTTGAAGTCAGAGGTATATGACATACAGTGGGGTGATGGTAGTTTGAAGTGAGAAATAGGTAGAAAAAAGGTAAGGTGAGGACTGTGGAAATGGTGGAATATGACATACAGTGGGGTGATGGTAGTTTGAAGTCAGAAGTTAACTGCCGGTTTATAGAATTTTTCGTCGTATGAGTATGCGTTACCCAGTGCGCGTAACGTGGAGGTAAATCTATCGCATACCCCAGGTAAAACAACAAATCGTGATAAATAAACCCAACTCAAAAAAATAAAGGTCATGAGATTTCATTCAAGATAGCTGTATTAAAATGATTTAGTGCCGACTGTAACTGAAAATTTTGCTATTTAATCATTAATAATACTTTGCAATCTAAAGAAAATTCAAAGAATCGATCTTCCTAGGCCGATTGCAAAAAGAATCAAAAATAATTGAAATCAAATCAATTAAATTTTAGTTGAAGAAATGTCAGAAACTAATCCATTTCGTTCTTTATTTTCTCCCAAACATCTCCATATCTTCATAGTTCTTTTAACAAAATCAATTGAGCATGATCTAATTACTTGAAAATGGGGTGCGCAATCGACTTACCTCCACGTTGTGCACCCTGGGCAACGTATAGTCATACGGAAAAAGTCTATTTATCGGCAGTTGACTCCTGACTTCAAACCTCTATGACCCGACTATTTGTCATATTTGACCTATTTCACAGTAATCATCTTGCCTTTTCTCTGCCTTTGTGTCTGTCTCTTCTACACCTGTGAATCACTCTTCTGTTCCCCATCTCGACTTTTTGTCACTTTGATGTTCCTCCTCCTCACTGTGTAGCCCCGAAGTCAACTAAAGGGATAATGATAACTCTCAAAACGCCTGCCATTTGATATAAATAAATAATTATTTGAAAATTAGATGGAAGGGAGCAGCAGCAAGGATAATTGCTTTGCCCCACTTAGTCAACATGCCTTAAGGTCCATTTTCTGACAATATTCCCCATGGCAATCTGATAAAGGAGGGAGAGTGAAAGGCAGTGAATGGGACAGAGCAGACAAGGTGCACGTGTAAGAGGGGC